AGGTTTTCTTGCATCATGTGTAAAGTGTATGAAGGATGCAAAAGCAAAAGTTTTTTCTCATTTTTTTAGTCTACAGCCATACGAGCCAAATGGCACACAATTTTGCTTATAGTTCTTCTGCCACCTTGACTTATAGTCTATTGTTATATCGGTATGCACTACATAAATGGCAAATTTGTGTCTTTCACTGGAATTCGCCATTAGCTCCACGTAGTCCATTACAGTGTAGATACGATCTACAGTTTTCTTTATTTTTCGTTTGACTACAGCAAAATCCCTACCACATGGAAAAAAACTATGACCTCTAATGGGAAAATATTGATTAATTATTGTTTCAAAAAGTCCTTTAGATACCAGGGCAGCATAAGTTGACTGGTTTTTATTAAGTCCTGCATATCCATCCGAAAATATGTGCAGGTATAGTGAAGTTTTAGGTAAAACAGAATTTATATAAATGCATTATGAATAAACATACATACATCATAACAACCTTTTTTGCAACGCCTTCATAATTTACGTAAAACATTGCAGTGGTCGTGCGGAGATCATGAATTTCAAGTTTATTAATAGTCAATTGATAAAGATCAAATACTTCTTGACCTCGAATAAGCATTAAATTTTGCATAATATCTATATAGATTGCTCCATGAGAAGAATCTTCAAACAACGCTCTTTAATGTATTTCATTTACTATGAAATTTTCTTCCTCGCCTTTAGTAAACCTCTTTTTCAGCTTTTGTGGCTTATTTGGCAGCTTCGTTTGAACTTTGATTAACTTGACAACAGTATCTGGTATAGCGTTTCCTGAGATTCTCGCCCATGTTTATCAATGGGAGACCTTCCTGCCACAAGTAAATTACAAAGTCATCTCACTTGGTCAACAAAAATAGCAAAGAATGCTATAAATGCTTTTTTAGAAACATAACACCAGAACTAGTTGGAACAGCGTATTGAAAAGAATTTTTGCGTTGAAAATTCGTCACAGGATTTTTTTTGGAATTATATTGGTACAACACGAATTAACGTTAAAGAAACGCATCTTGTTCATTTTAAGTTTCAAACTGCAAAAATTTAGTTAGAAGTTTATCATGCTAAGACTACTTTTTCAAAACATTTCATATTGCATCTTAAAATAACAACTATTATTTAAACGCTTACCCAATGATAATAATAATAGATCAAATCTACAAGATAGGCCCCTGTGTCACTAAATTTCCTTTATAATTCGTTTAGTATGTTCTCTTTTCTCTGGTCCTTTTAATTTTTTCTCTATGGTACACTACGTGTTTTACTCCGTTACTTCCGCTTATTTATACCATTTTGATTGTCTTATTCACAATCACCAATATTCTTCATTTTTTCCTTGTTTTAATTGAAGGCTAGACAAAGGATATGCAACACTTGTACTGCTTGGAGAACACTACACGGAGTCGGCACTGAACACACTTAACGTTTTACACCATGTAGTACAGAAACCCCTTAAATGCGGTACTTACGGGATTTCTGCATTACACAGGTAAATAAAGTATTGTCTCCTCTTCAGTCCTAATCACTTTTGGGATGTGGTGACACCATCAGGCCCTCACAGTTTTTTTTGGGTTTCCCTCCATCCTTTTCTGTCCTGGGCTAGTTGTTCGGCTTCATGTAACCCTTGGTTAATCAATGTTTTTGTTTGATTTGTATTGTCTAAATATACTAAATAGTCGAACAATAGCGGGGTTTCTGCATTACACGTCTTTTAAATGAGTCTTTACACTCATACCCGACATAACTTATATTTCTGTTATAATTTTACTTACGAGCTTTCTAAAATATGTGATTCAAATATCAACAGGGTTGGTTACATCAAAGGAATTAAAACAAGGATATTGCCTGTCCACCACTTAGTTTAAAATAAATCTCGGAAGCGCTTTAAAAAGATTGAAGCAAAATGTAAAACAATGGGAATAACACTCACCAACAATGATATATACGCTAAACTGTGCAGACGATCAAGCTGTAGAGGATCAAGAAATTCTGGAACAGGTCAATAACCGGAAAGGGTTGTCGAGTCAGTGATTATGACGATGATAGTTCTATTAATTATTTTCTGAAATTGCTCTTTTACCCTTATGATCGATATAGAGCGCACATCTATATAAATATTTTACTTTGATATTTATTAATAACGTTTATCAACGATTTATTTAGCAACAAATCTTGTTTAACGGTCTTAAAGTGGACACAGGCCCCATACTATTAAATTTTAATAATCTTAAATCTTCTTTGGTTTACTTTTTCCTCAAACTTCCAACAATATTAAGGGACTTAATGGAAAGTTATATAATCCTGTTTAGATTATAAGTAAGTTGGAGGAAATGATGGGTAATAAATTGCCAGTAAGAAAATAATAATCTTTATTATACACAAGTTTTGTTTGTGAAGAGTCATTTGGAAGTAATGTAACTTAAACGCATTAATTAGCACCTTATGAAAAGATATTCTCCGAAGTTGCAAACTGTTTATCTGCTGGTTTGAATGAAACTTTTGTTTAGTAGACAATAGGCTGCAAATTGCTTCATAACAATGATTATAAATTGTAATAATTAAATAGTAACTTTTTACTAACATTTCTTATAGTCTGCGGTATCAGTATAGATTAAATACCTATAAATAGTTATAACAAAAATAATTTAAAAAAGTACTTACAAACTAATTCTTTGAGAACCGCGATAAAAACCCTATACTTATATATGTTATTTTAAATTATTCATTGCTCATACACAAACAAAACATCATAGCTATATATATATATATATATATATATATATATATATATATATATATATATATATATACACTATACTTTCGTACTTAGGGCTAATTAAGATTTAATATTTGAAAACATTTGGACAGTGTATTTTCCAAACAATGCGACGCTACCAGGCATTTCTTTTTATTCATAAATTAAACGTTATTGCTTTTATTATGCTTCAAAGGTAATACATCCTTGGAGTTAAGCTTAATAATTTTGCACGTTAACGGGTAATTTACATTTTCAAAATTAATGAGTATAATTAATATGTACCCCAATAGTAAAGAAGAATTGACATTTAGTACATACATAGTCAGTATAGGACTCGGGGGAATAAATATTGAATATATAGAGAATATTTAGAGAATATATAGAGAAAAATACTAGCCTGGCACGAACATGTTAAAAGAGTGGACTCGGGATGCTTTTTTTTTTCACGTGCCATATCAGAATTATTCCAACATTGCGAAGGCTTTTCGATCTTCTGTCATGTGGGATGTTTTTTAACCAAGAAACCTGTTTTCTTCATACATCTCTACGGCCTTCTATTTTGCCTTTAAAGCTCAGTTGTAATATTGTATATCGATTTCCCCTCACTACATGTCAAGATAAGACATTTTCCGGTACTTAACAATTTTTAGCAATTTTATGTCTTTCTTGACCCTCCTTAACCATTCTATGTCTTAGTTCCAAACTGAGATGATTATTGCTAAAACGGTCTTTATTCTCATAAATGTAGTAAAGATAAAAGAATGGATATGGTATACAATACGCAAAAAAATGAATAGAACGGGCAGATACGATCCGAGAAGACAAGGCACTGGAGAGAACTGTGTGGCAGGTTGGCTGAGGACGTTTTAGATCAGGGGTAGACGCCGAAGATAAATGAGCTGTATCTTTTACCATAGACGAACTCAATGAAGCGGTGAGTGCCCTAAAGACATGAAAGGCTCCAGAATTCGAAAGGGATACCACCAAAAGCGGTGGAACATATGTGCAGTATGGAGCCTACGTGGCTTTTGGAACACTAAATGCACTGCTTGGAACTCAGCGGTTTTTGACAGATTTGGAAGATTTCGAGGCTTGTGCTACTCCCAATGGCGAGAAGACCAGTATAGACCTGTTTGTCTTTTGTCCTGCATATATTAATTATTCGAGAGGCCCTTAAGAGGGCAAGTAGACAGTCATTGAAGAGTCAGGCTCTCAGGCAGTACGGTTTCAGAAGGAACAGGAGCACGGTGGATGCGGTGATGGAAGACGGATGTCCGGCCGGTAATTTACGGTTGAGGAGGGTATTTTTTAGCAGGTAGGTCTCTGACATTCACGGCGATGGTATCCGAATAACCCCTGCATGCGGTATTGGATATCATCGTGGCCACGCGGGAGCAATCATGCACAACCGAGGATGGAAGGCGGTTTTGCCTACTTTCGTATGTTTCGAATATTTGGACCACCCACTCTCATAAAAGACGAAAAAAAAAGACTTCTGATACTTACTTACTTCTGACTCTGTATTTATTTTTCTGCGATTACAGCACATCTGTCGCAAATGGAAAAAGTTTCAGAAAAAGTTTGTTTACTCTTTCACGTAGAATTCGAATCTTCAGTAAAAAATAGGAGTTCTCTATTTAAGATTTCAAAGTTGGCCCTGCCCCATCTCCAGGATAGGTCAGTATCAGGGATAAATCATTTTTTTCGAATATAGTGGCACCTATCAACAATTTCGAGTAAAACTTACGGTACTTATTTTTTATGAAAAATCCAAATCAGGAATAAAAATAGTGGTTATTATTAAATTAAAAAGAAATTTTGAAATTAAAGTTTTGAAAATAGTAAACACTTTTTTTTTTGTTTTTCGATCAGATGTAAATTTCGCAAAATATTCGACCACCCCGTTTTTTTTGCACACCCTATATATCTACTGAAACCTACATAATAAGAATTACTGATCAATGTTTACGTCTTTCCCCTCTTTTTAAAGTCCCTCAAACTCTCTAAAGTAAGGTAATAGCAAATTAAGCGTGTATATATTCATATATCAATTATTTATATCTACAAATTTAAATAAAACATGTTTTTTCTCTAAATCTTACAGATACGCCTTTATCGAAATTGAAATTCAGTTTATTCGAGAGGCACATATCAATATTTCCCTCAAATGCGTCCCTGTCCGTGCCACAGGTAAATAAATGCTATAGTTACTTACCTCCAAGTTTTCAGCATTAGAGCCCCATAGGTGAGGGAGAAACCAATTTCGCGAAGCCACACTCGTGCGGTACATGTGTATACTGTCGGTTTCGGGTACATTACAATCATCTGGAACAAAAAATTTATTGAATGGGTGTGTTTTATTATCATAATTCATTGTATCGATTAAATAGTAACATGCACTAATAAATGGGGATAATATTAGATTATAAATGAGGACAAAGTAATGGAAGTAATAAATTTATTTATTTAGCGTATGGCTACATCACAGGTTCATATATAGACATATAATATAAATTATATAAATTACAAACAACAATAAATACAAAAATATTATTCTACAAACAAACATCTAGATTATAAATATATTCGATTGACTCTTTTGTAGCAGCCAGGAAATCTGAAGGGTTGCCGTTATAGGATCTAATCGGGCATTCCTCTACCATGTGTTTTACTGTTTGCCTTTCGGCGCCGCAGTCGCAATTTGGTGATTGTATTTTTCCCCATCTAAAAAGTGAGTCGGAACATCTGCCACAGTTCGTCCTTATTCTATTGAGTGTGGTCCAAATTCGTCTCGGTTGGTTGAAGCCCTCAGGTTTGCTTATAATACATGGCATGTTCCAGTTAGCTGGTGCAGCGTTATTCTCCCATTGTTCTCTCCACCGTTCAGTTACATTAAAGTTTTGATCTACTAGTCTTTTTGCTGTTTTTAGAGGCGGGTGTCTTGAACGGAGCCTATTTATGTCTCTGGCGGAAGTTCCGACATGGGAGCGGAGCTCAGGATCAGTATTGATTTTTGTAAATTCTGTGAGTATGTGGAACTGTTTATTCATACTGGGTGCACAGTATTCCGCTACGGGTATACAAGTTCTAATGCTGTCGATCTAAGTGTGGTGCTGAGGAGCCCCATGTAGTGCCGCAGAGCTTTTGCAGGATGTTGTTACGAGTTCGGAGTTTTGCAGCAGTCTTAGTAAGATGCTCTTTAAAGTTCAGCGTTCTGTCAAGTGTAACACCTAAGTATTTTGGGTGTTTATTATATTTAAGGAGTCTATCCCCAAAATTGATTTGAGGTTGATAGTTGGCCATCTTGTTGTACAAATGGAAGCAGGACACTTCTGTCTTAGTTGGATTGGGTTGCAATCTCCATTTACGGAAATAATTCCTAGGGCATTTAAATCGTTTGTTAGAATGCGTTCAGTGACCTCGAATTCTTTATAACTTGCGGCAAGCGTCCAGTCGTCTGCGTATCCAAACTTTTTTGATGTGGTTTCTGGCATGTCTGCTATGTAGAGGCTGAAAAGCATGGAGCCAGCACGGATCCTTGTGGAAGTCCATTATTCAGTTTTCTTTGGGTACTAGTCTTGTCTCCCAATATAACTTTAAAGCATCTGTTGGATAGCATGGCGTTAATAACCTCAGTGGTCTTTCTGCATGGGATTATTCGCATTAATTTATATTGCCCCTTGTCGCCACACAGTGTCACAAGCAGCAGATAGATCGATGAAGACAGCGGTTGTTTTTGATTGCTTTTGAAAGTTTGATTCCACATAATTGGTCAGGGCGAGTACCTGGTCTGTGCAGCTGCGGTTTGGCCGAAATCCTGCCTGTTCCACTGGTAAGTGTTGGAATATGGTTTTGCTGATTCTATTATACAACAGTCTTTCGAACAATTTGTACACCATACTTAAGAGTGAGATGGGGTGGTAGTTTTTCGGTGAATTATTACTTTCCCTGGTTTTAAAATGGCACGATTTTTGCATTTTGAGTGGTGGGGACGTTCCCGTTTGAAGGATTCAGAAAAATTCTGCAGCCATTGCCTAGTACTTCTGGAAGTCTAGGTTTTCTACTGTCTGTGTCCATTTTTCACGCCTGACAGCATCAATGGAAGGGGCACATGTCCTGCCTTCACAGGAGAGAATAAGAAAATCCGTATAGAGGTAGACGTCAAAGTGGGCACCTATACTGGCTGTAATTTTATTGTTTAACTTATGAACTTTTATGGTACTCTAATGCATATGCATATAAGCCAGGGTTGATAAGGTTTGATAATTTATGTGAACCGTGTATGTGGAAATAATTCTCCAGGATTCCTCTTGATTTGCGACCGCCAATGTACGTATCTAATTCCTGACATTTTCTCTCCCAGACTGGATTTTTTGACTTTATCATCGTGGATCTAAATTTATTTACCATTTCTCTATATTCTCTTTTGTATTCTTGATCCTTTGTTCCCAGCCATCTGTGATATAATTTTTGCTTTTTGTTCTTTCATTTCCTGTAGTTCATCATTCCACCAATTATTTGTCTTTCTGAGTTTGTTTACTCTTATACCTTATACTTCTTTGGCCGCTTGATGTATTCCTTTTCTTATTATTCTATATAACTCTTCCGTTGTTTTATGTTTGAATTCCTGTGGTAGTTGTTGCTTCAATCTTTTTTATACAATTCTCTAGTACTATCGTTGTCTAAACTTGTTAGATTATACTGCAGTTGTTCAACTTCTGCCGAGTGATTTTCATTTAGATTGTTATTTTGTTGGTGTTATTATTTCCGCTTAGAGGTAGTATTATTTTGGCTTTTACTAGATGGTGGTCACTTCCACATTCGGCTCCTCGAAACACTCTTACGTCATGCACTTTTATTTTAGATTTTTGTTTTATTATTAGGTAATCAATTACTGATCTTAAGTTTCTTGTAGGCTGAGTCCATGTATATGTATGTATTTCCTTATGTTTGAAATACATTCCATTCATTCATAATCCTTAGTGAGTTGTGTTTACACATTTCTATTAAGTTATTGCCATTGTCGTTTGTAGTGGGTTCTTCATATGGTCCTATTGTTTTATCGTTTATTCTTCTACCAGTTCTTGCATTAAGGTCACCTAATATAATAGTTTCCCTTGTTTGACCTATTTGAGAAATAGTTTCATCTAGGACTTCATCGTATTTTATTTTTTCTTCTATGCGTGCATCATCATTCGGACCGTATAATGCCTATTATTGTTATTTTTGATCCCTTCAGGTTGATGTTGATCTTTATGATTCTTTCATTTATTACTTGCCAGTTCGATATATTCTTTTTGTATTTCTTCAATATAAGTATTGATACTCATCTTTTGGCATGTTCTTCCTTATTAACTTCCGTGTGTATATGTATATATCTATGAAGATTTTGGGTTACTCGTCGTTTTTTCTTTGTTTCTGAGAGTACAGCGAAGTCCATTTTGTGTTTTTTTATTTCTTTAATAACATCTTCGATAAAATCTTCGATAACATACACAATTCCTTGTGTATTACACGTACCACAAATCAGTGTCCGTTTCGTTGCCATTGTCGTCGTCCTTTAGTTCCATCCATATCCCGAGGCTTAGATTCGGTATTTTTAGCATTACCATTTTTTCCAAGAATGAGTTGCTGTGATGGTACAGGATCTTATTTTTGCATTAAATTAATATAACCCAAGGGATACCAGTGAGTTTAGTGCTTCGTCTTAAGTTTTTAGTTAATTTAAGATTGAAAAAAGTTGCTCATTGATCATATTCTTTGATCAGATTGTAATGTTCTCAAGAATATTATTGGTGTTTATTAAATAAAAAAAATCATAGTAGTAACACTTAATCCATTGCAAACATTGTATAACATGATAGTGTCATTTACAGAAAGACTAAATTAAAATTAATCTCTTTATAGTAAAGTAGTCCAATCAAAGTTTTTAGTATATAATACTGACGTCATTTTTTAATTTTATTGGAAAAATTGCTGACTTCAACAAAAGGGAATATATCCATTCGTACCGTAAAATTTTCAGTCAAAAATTAATTGAAGTGTACGAATTAAATTAATATATAACACTCAGTTTAACGGACTCATTTCTTGCAACTGACGTTGAACTTTAAGTCTGTTCTCGTTTGTGTCTAAATTGTAGCTGGAAATATCGATTAAATATTTTCTATTTTATTTCAAACTGCAGAGTATAGAATTGTAGCAATTAAATGCTTCTAAAACTTCCAGGGTTCGATTTTTATTTTTCGTTTTTTTACTTTCCTGTTATTCGCTTTGCTTTATTTGTTTCCCTTAATACTAAGACACAGGCAGTCGGGGTCGCGATTTAAGCTAGTGACTAACTAAACGAAATTTCTAGTTACAAAAAATACCTACTATTTAAATTTAATTAAAGGATAACACAACAATTAAAAATACAAAGTAAATTTTATACTGGACAAAAACAGTTAAGTAAATAGTTTTCTGCAACATTTCATATGATGCCGATTGATTGTAATACATTCTTCTTCTTATGGGGCCTATCCGTTACGGATGTTGGACACTAACATGTCTATTCTGACTATGTTGACTGCTGTCCTGAAAAGTCCGGTAGTGATTAAGTTAAACCATTTTCGAAGGTTATGCAGCCAGGATAGTCTTTTTTGTCCTGGACCTCTATTCCCATGCACTTTACCTTGAAGTATGGTCCAAAGTAGGTCATATCGTTGTTCATTGCGCATTATATAGCCCAGGTATTTCAGTTTGCGACGTTTTATGGTTACGACTAGTTCGCGCTCTTTACCCATTCTATGTAATACTTCTTCGTTGGTAACTCTGTCTATCCAGGAAATCCTCAACATGCGTGTATCGCACCACATCTCAAATGCTTTAAGTCTCTTCAGTGATGCTTCAGTTAAGATCCATGACTCCACGCCATATAAAAGAACGGAGAATACGTAGCATTTTAGTAAACGAACTTTTATTTCCAATTTTATATCGTGGCTGTTAAAGATTTTTTTCATTTTGACGAAAGCTCATCTTGACTTCTCGATCCTTATCTTAATTTCCGTCGATTGGTCCCACTGTTCATTTCAGGTTGCACTCAGATAACAAAAGTTGATGATTTGTGTTATAGGTTGTTGGTTAACTAGTAATTGACCAGGTGGTATCCTATGTTTGCTTATAAACATGTATTTGGTTTTTTTGATGTTAAAATCAAGCCCAAACCTGCTACTTACTTCTGCCACCCTGGAGATAATTGTCTGCAGACCTTCAAGAGGATCTTGATCTCTCCTGTCAAAATGTCAACCTCACCTGCCCGTGTGATGATCTTGATTCTGATCATC